CAGTTTTTTGCTCATCTGGCTGTACCTCAGAATCATTGGCATTTGGAAGGTGAAAATAGGTGAATGTCTTTCTTGGGCACTGTGTAATTTCCTCTTGATCTGTCTTCTTGTTAGGCATCATAGGAGAATGGCCAAATAAGGAATATGGAATATCCTCTTTCCCAGATTCCTGCTCAGACTTGCCTGACACATCCTTCTCTTTTTCGTGCTTGGGAGTGTCTTTAGTCTCTGGACAACATTTAGGACTCATTTGATTTTCCCAAAGCAACCAGCGACCTTTATCAATTAGGACAGCATCCTTGGGACTAACCCTGGCATTCAGAGTGATACAGTGGGTTTGCGGATTTGGCTTGAAAACATCTACTGAGCATGTGGGATTGAAGTATGATAAATCAGGTGTGGCATTTGTGTGATCCTTATGGATTGAGGACAGACTGGGTGCATTTGTATTTCTAAGACCTTCTCTTTTCTTAATTTTGTCAGCTGAGAAAGATCTTCTCTCATCAGAACTAGATCCTTTCGAGCCTTTTCCATAAAGCTGCTCAATAGTTCTTCTTACATAACCCTTGGCGATGGACAGTCGACAGGGCCCTTTCTCTTCTCTCAAAATCTCTGAGGAATTTGGTGATTGGGGTTCTTTTCTATCTGAAGATTCAAGTTGGTAATTTGACAAATTAGGGCTGCTCAGCCGAGTTTGTTCATGCCGAATATCTGTATTGCTCTTAGCAAGAAACATGTCTCTGATGGATTTCACTCTGTTTGTTTGCATGTTGGTCTCTGAGTCTCTCGCTAAAACATTGCTTTTGGAATCATAGCTGAATGCTAATGATGACGAAACAGAATCCATCAATGCTCTGTTTGTGGTTTTGGTAACATTTGACGCCTCTAGATTTGTTCCATTGAGGTTGTCCAAGGTCTTTTTCCCAATTATCTGTTCTGTATTATAAGGTATCCTTTCAACTAATTTGTCCTGTTCTTCTAGACTTTCATTATTAAAATGTATGCCATTTTTTTCATACTTAAAGGCTTCGACTGGAATCTCCTCAAAACTTTCTTGATAGATGGTGTAACATTCTGGTGCTTCTAGAATAACATCTTCATCCTCAGAATGTGCCCGACTTTCTATAGAAGAATCTTTGTGTATCATTGAATGTTGCATTTCATTCACATCGATATTTGATTCAGGATCCTCAAAATATGCAACAGTTTGCACCGCAGGTAAAGGAATCTCTTTTTCAGTCTCAAGATTTTCCATTTGAGTGGCCTGAAACTCATTTTGCCAATGTCCTAATGTTTTCTCATTTGAACATATCTGTTGCACTTCATCACTTACCTCAGGACTTTGCACAGTAACATTTCTTTCTTTATTAAAGGACCTTGCCTCATGAAATCCATCATCATGTGTATCATTCTCATCCACTTGAGCTATCATTTCTTTCACAGAGAAATTTAGTTTTTCTTTATAGCTTAGGGACTCTTTAGTCCCCGCCTCTTCAACTGTATCTCTGCTATTTTCTATTTGATTTACCACTTTCCCAAAAAACCCTTCTTTTGTCAATTTTGTCTTTAGATGTTTCGAATTCTCTGCTTCCTCTTCCCATCTATATCGTTGTTCATTAATTTCACTCTGTCTTTCAGCTCCTGTCTCAACTTCGATTTTCTGATGTTTCCCGACAGTTGTTTCTTCTTGTCGCTTGTCTCTTAGTTCTTCCAATCCTTGCTCTTCTATTCCCTTTAATTTTAACTTTTTGTACATTTCTGACGCAAAGTTAGATTCACTAGATGATTTGTCCTTACAGATATCAGAGTCAGGAGTTGCATTGTCCTGAAAAGTCCTCATTATGTTGTAAAGGTTTTCATTTCTCACATCCTCAATGATCCCAAGATTGTCCGTTTCAGACATTAAAAGTGATTCTGTTTGAAAAACTTGTGAACCATCACTATTTTTAAGATGTGCATTTATAGCTTTATCAATAACTGAATTAACGTAAACGTTTACATAATCTTCCAACACAGAACTAGCCATTTTATCTTTCTGGGGAAATTCAATCATTTTCACCTCTGGGGGTGAACTACTTATTTTGTCAGTGCCTTCCATCTCATTGGATATCGTGTTCTCATGTACATGTTTGACAGCTGCCAGCTCCTCTCTGACCCTCTCAGGAACACCTAATTGCTCCATTAGCATTTGTATATCATGTTCTTCATCCTCTAAACTATGATGGTACTCACTCCCAGCGAAGTCTGATGTGGAACTGCTCCTCACTGATTTCTTGCTTAAAAATTGAAAGCCATTAAAGCTCTGTAGTAGCTGAACAGAGGCTGATTTGTGGAGGTCAGACAGACTTATCTTTAGATGCTCTGTGTCTTCTATAAGTGCCACTTGCTTTAGAGACTGCAGCATGAGAATAGCCTCAGAACAACAGCTTACGCTGGCCTCACTCTGATGAGAGACATTTAAATTGCTTAAGCCATCCTTTAATGTCATAACAGAAAGAAAGGCAAGGAGTAGCCTGGAGGAAGAGCTAAATGTAGATTCCAAATGTGAAAAAAAATCTGGTGTTTTAGGTGTTTTCAAACATAATGAGCGCTTGTGTTGTACAACATCATGAAGTGATCGAATAGAATTGCAAAGCTGATCAAGTACTGGCTTCATGTCAGGCCTTACAGCCATTTTAACTGTGTAAAACCTTTGTGCTTGAAAATCTATCAGTTCTGTTGAAGGCTCTGTATTTTCAGAAGGCTTACTATTTTCTGAGTCATATAAGTTGGTGGTGTTTTGTTTTGAAGTATGCTGATTTTCGCTTACTGTTGCATGATCACTGTTTATTTGGTCTTTGTCTATAAGTGGTACTTTTTTGGTCCTTGGTGAACATAGATGGGTATTTTTCTCATCAGATGTTTCTTTTGTTGAGGGTTGTACTGGATCGACTGATTTATGATTGAACAATGATGCCTTTACCATTGTGTTGTGTTTGGGAATAGTTTCTAAAGAGGACTGCACTGGTAAGATTGGTTGAGGTTCACTTTTTTGTAGCCAGAGCTCAACATATTCTGACGTTTTCTGTCTCAGTGTGCCTTTGCTAAGTGATGTATTAGGCAAGTTGTTCTTTGGCAAAGTGCAACTATCAGTTTGCACCTGGATATCGTTTTGCTCGTTTTCAACCTGTAACAGGCTTGTGTTGTCTTTTTTCAGTTGAACACACTCTAGCTTCTTGGTTTGAAGCTTTTGAGGTGTGCTTCCATTAGCAGTATTAATTCTCTTTTTTAATAGTTTTTGGGCAGCCTTTGCTCTGAAATGCTTTCGTGGTTTTATGGTAGCTCCTTTCTGGCTTAATATGTCAGCTCGTATTTTCTTTATTTCTTTTAGAATGTCAGCTTTATAATCCTTTTGCAATTTTTCTGTATTAGTAGATTTAAACAAGTAATTCTTTTTTACTATTACTCTCACTGGTTTCCTCTTTGTGATTGTACCTTGAATAGGAACTCCTGTCGACTCTGAGGCATTTGATGATGCAGGAGCTTGTGTTACTAACACGCTGGCTGTTTTTGTTGAGGTGGTGCTTGTTTTGTAGGTGGAAGTGTAAGGTTTAGAGACTGGGGATTGTACATCTCGTTTTCCAGGTGACAGGCATCTGATAGATGATAAGGCTGCTGGAAAAATGCCATCAGTAGATTCTGTGTAGCCATGGGGAGAACCATAAAGAGAACTAGCAGTGCCTTGGAAACCAAGTTGCATATTACTCGAGAGGTTCACTTGACAAGTCTGATTTTCATAGATTAGCACTGCCTCTTGAACCTTTCTCTGACTGTCTTGGTACTGGAGAATCTCTGAAGATCTGTAGTTGCTGGCCTGCAACCGTGTAGCAGTGTTCATTTCAGAGGGCACAATGCATCGAGGCTTGGGTATCGGGTGGTTAAAATGCTGTACCTTAGAGACTTCATGATTAACCCCTCCATTGTCTGTATTTTCCTTGTACAAGTATGAATGGTTATATTCTGTATCACTAGCCGTTTTGATGTTCTCTACGGATCCTTGTTTGTGAAAGTGTGGAGGAGGTGAAGATTGTTGTCCTAACTCCAAACCTGCTGCACACCCATTAATCTCAGGATGTTCATTTACCTCATTCCTGGAATGGCTGTAGTTTTGAATGTCACTGACCTTTATGGAGCCAGTATCATTTGGAGGGTGTATGTTGTCAGGTAAGGTAGCATCCAGATCAGAACAGGAAACATTATCTGTTTGAAATTGGCTGTGCACATTGGAACGACTGACGGTGGTGGTCCAATGAATTGTTTCCTCCTCTTTGATAGTGAGGCGTACCTTCATTTCTACTGTCATACTTCCATCTTGATTGACCCGGAAGGATTTCTCAATGTCATCATCAGAGGGCATGAGTGTGTCGTCTTCTCTTTCACCATCCAGACTGGGGATTATTTCTGTTTCTGCAACTGATTCAAGATTCTGGCCAAGCTCTACTTCTACTGAGCCATTGGGGTTGCTTGGGTAATCACTTATACTTCCTGTCATACTGTTGTGAATTTGATTCACAATGTAGTGTTCTGAAGATGGAGAGAAGGGACAAGATCTGGTGCTGTTAGCCTTCTTTTTTCCTGTAGAATGTTGGTGATATATGATTTAAAAGTGTGTTGATAGATGTAGATGTTCATGTAGATGAGGAGTTGTTTATTCCAATCGGGACATCATTGCAAGAAGAAAAAGAAAGAGCATGCAGAAACACAGATTAGAGAAAGCAATAATCCATAATGAAGATGTAGGTCACTGTAGGTATTACAGTAGATATGGATGCCTCAGCACTTGCTTCAAGCCAGTCTCAGACAGAGATTATCAGACATAACATGTAAAACATATTTTAAAAATCTTTAAAGACTTTATCATGAATTCCTAAAGAATGTCCTATGAATACAGATGACTATTGAATATACATACATTTTTCTGGTCCTTATTATTATAGTAGTTGAGCCCTGTGAAAATATACATAATGAACTTACTGGTAATTAGACGTCGTCGTCCAGACCTTTTAGCTTGTAGCAACTTTGGTGGAGGTGACTTCTGGACATCATAGTTTCTTTTTTTAAAGGATTCTCGGCCAGCAGCCACCAATATCCCAGAACATAGTATCATAGCAGGAAGCCCATCCACCTGTCATAATGTAAAAACATCGTTATCAGGTGTCAACAAAACACAGTATCTATTTTGAAGCAGATGTAGAATGTTAGTATGGGACATTTATTAAAATGTCGATGTTAAAGTCCAGGGGCGGACTGGGACTAAAACTCAGCCCTGGCACTGTAGCCACACCAGCCCACATTACTATACTGCCACAGCCCCTTGCACCGACACGCATATTCACTAATTTTGGTGTATAGATGGTGAAATAATATAAGCAGTACCATATATGTAATAGATATTTAAACATTTAATGTATGTGACTGGACCAAAAACAAATTTATATATGCGATCATTCATTCATTTTGTTTTCGGCTTAGTCCCTTTATTAATCTGGGATCACCACAGCGGAATGAACCGCCAACTTGTCCAGCATATGTTTTACGCAGCAGATGCCCTCCAAAGTGAAACCCACTGTGAAACCCCTTATACAGCACATTCACATACATGCACTACAGACAATTAAGCCTGGCCAATTCATCTACAGCACGTGTTTGGACTTGTGAGGGAAACCAGGAGGAAACCCACGCGAACATGCAACCTCCACACAGAAACACCAACTAACCCAGGCGAGGCTCGAAAAAGCAACCATCTTGCGCCCCTCCGCTGCTCTCTCTCAAGACTATTTCTGTTAATTTTATGCATTTGGCAGAGTTTGACTTTTTTTTTTTTTTTTTTTTGCTTTCTCTGAGCTTTTCGGCACCTCCTTTCCTTTTTTTATGGTCCATCTCTGACAATTAGCTTGTGTTGCACTTACTGTTTGTTTGACATTCTAGCCAGATTTTAGGTCGGCCCATCTCGAAATCAGCCGGTCATTGCTGATTGGGCCAATGCTTAACATTTATAATTATTATTACTATTAGCATCATCATCATCATCATCATCATCATCATCATCATAATACTCACATCTTGCAAGAGATAAAAGCTGCCTGCATGTAA